TCTGTGCAGTGTGCAGCTAATTCCTTCATATTATAGATTAATATATTATATCAGAAAAGTAATGTGCATAAGCCAACATATTTTAGAACTTTTGATGAGTAACGAATTTTTTAATATTAAAATAAAGTTTTACATTAATGGCTATAAAATATATAACAACTTTGATTGCAAACTCTTAAAATATTGAGTCAGCTAGTTTTCAAAAGTAGTTTCTGGCTAATCAAGTCACCCTTTTTTATTGGTTCACATCGACTTTTAACTGTTTAACTACCCTAATAGCCTAAAAATTTTAACTCAATCATTTTTATGATTGATCTAATTAATTCAGACTAGTCAATCCAATTTAATTTTTAAAACAATGATTCAAAAAAGAGGAAAGTGTTTTGTAATTTTTTATGAGGAAAATAATTTATTTACTAATTGCAATTGATATTCACATAACTAACAAATCAACAACAAAAATCCCTCACATAACAATTGAGAAGCATGATACCACCTGAAGAAAACTAAAAGCAAGAGATGTAAAGAATACTAAATCTGTATTCCTTTTTCAGTAATCAATTAGTACAGCACCAAGATATATATATAGCAATTCCTGGTTATGAGTGTACCAAGTGCCACTTTCCCTCTAACAAAATGATAATCCAACTCAATATGCTTGGTCTGAGCATGAAACATAGGGTTAATGGACATGTGAAGAGCACTTAGATTATTAGAAAAAATTTGAGGAGGATGTGGAAGGGAAATGCCAATATCACGGAAAAGATAAGTAATCCATACAATCTCTGTTGCGGTTGATGCCAAAGCTCTATATTCTGCTTCTGTAGAGGAACGAGCAATGGTGGGTTGTTTCTTTGAAGACCATGAGATACAATTAGCTCCGAGGAAAATGTAGTAACTTGTTGTGCTTCTCCTTGTAAGTGGACAGCTTGCCCAATTTGCATCATAAAATCCTGTTAGGGAGAACGTGCTGGTAGAGTAGAATCAAAGTCCATGATGAAGGCTCCCTTTGACATATCTTAGAATCCTTTTGACTTGACGAAAATTGGCAATCATCAGTTGTTGCATAAACTGACATAGTTTATTGGGCAATATCTACTCTTGTAATAGTTAGATACTAAAGTGCACCCACAATCCTTCTATACTTTTGTGGATCAACCAGTTCTTCATCTCGTAAGGTCGTAGTCTCCTTGATAGCCATTGGCGTAGTGATTGTAGAAGCCTCAAGCATGGAGGCTCGTGTAAGGACATCATTTGCATACTTACTTTGGGATAAAAATATGCCACCAAAGAACTTTTGAACTTCAATCCCTAAGAAGTAACTAAGGGAACCAAGATCCTTAAGGGCAAATTTCTCACTAAGATTCTCAATAATGTGTTGTAGTAGTGTTGTAGAGCTTGCAATAAGCACAATATCATTCACATAGAGAAGTAGTAAAGCAGTGTGATGATCCTTATGGAGTACAAATAGGAAGGACTCGACTCTATTATAATAGAACCCCATTATTAGTAAATAAAAAGTGAATGTATCAAACCAGGCTCGAGGTGCTTGTTTGAGACCATAGATGGACTTGTGTAGACATACTCGGGGTGACTTGGGTCCTTGAATCCAGGTGGTTGTGTCATGTAGACTACTTCTTTGAGCTTGCCATGAAGGAAGGCATTCTTTACATCGAGTTGGCGTAAATGCCATGATAAAGTTGTAGCAATGGCAATAATTAGACGCAGGGTGGTTGATTTAAGAACAGGGATGAAAGTTTCATCAAAATCTACACTAGGTATCTGAGAGAACCCTTTTGCAACTAATCGTGCCTTAAATCTATCCACAATCCCATTTGGCTTGAGATTTGTCTTAAAAATCCATTTTGAGCCCACAATGTTTGCCTTGGATGAAGGTGGAGGAACTAGTGTCCAAGTGTTATTCTTATGAAGTGCCTCAAGCTTTTCTTGCATTGCATTAACCCATTGTGGAAGTTGTAAAGCCTGTCTCACAGTTTTGGGCTTGTTAGTGTCTAAATCTGCATTAGAGAAAGAAGAAATATCAATGGTCATGGTGTAAGCATGTTTTGAAAAATCAATTTTGACATGACCAATATGCTTCCCTACTCGAGATCCTGTTATCATAGGATGAGTGGAAGTTGATGTAGCATTGTGTGGCAAAGGTGGGATCCGTTCACAACTTGAGCTAGAAGTCATGCCATCTTGTCTTAATTCACCTTCATGAGGCTGTTGAGAAGTGGAAAATGATTGTTTCGAGTTGAACACCTCATTGGTTTGGTGAGGTTCTACCTCTTCTTGAGAACTAGGAGTTAGGGTATCAATAGTCTAAGCATTGCTGGTGGTGAGAGTCTTATGCACTGTATCAGATTGAGTATAATCTCTCTCGGTTGGCTCTTCTACAGACACCTCATTCAAAATATTTGTTGCATAAGCATTAGCATTGGTTTGTTCATCCTCAGGACCATCAATGTCAATGTTTGTGATGTGTTGATGTTGAGAGGGCATAGATACACGCTCTTCTAGTTTTTGTGAAGGTTGTAGATGAGAGAAACTTTGTATTCATTCATCATGGTCTAGGTATTTGTAGAGTTCGCCACTTGTACTAAAAACACTTGAAATTTTTGTTAAATCATTTTACGGAAGAAAATGTTCATCAAACACAACGTGCCTAGATATATAGATTCAGATGAAAGGGATGAAGGATTAAAGTATTAAGATGCAGATGTTAACCTTCTCTAATACCATCAAGAAATCTAAAAGCAAGAGATGTAAAGATACTAAATTTGTATTCCTTTTTTAGTAATCAATTAGTATAGCACTAAGATATATATATACAGCAATATAGAAAAATATTTGTATCTATCCACGCCTGATATTAAGCTTATGAACGTTGCCATTTGACCGTTGCGTCAATGTGCTTTGCCTTTGATTTTGGCGAGATAATTTCCTTTTTTTTCTTGATGATTGTTTCCTTATTTGATTCAAGTTTTAATTCATCAGATTCTAGTTTTGATTCCTCAAGCTTAGCTTCCTTCTTCACACCATCAGAGCACAAATCAACCACAACAAGAATTAACATACTCACTTCAACAAAGCAAAACAAAAACTGGGAAATTAGCAAACTGGGAATGCCTCTGCAAACTGCAAAAACTGGACATTCAATGAGAATCACATCTTACTCAAAAGCATTTTGTAAAAAAAAAACGGTTAACAGATAATTTTTTGTATAATTTTTTCATACAAACTTATATATTATTTAATAATTAACTTATGTGATTAAACTCGTAATATTATATATATTAATTCATTTAATAATTAATAAAAGTTGTATACAAAAAAATATTTGTATATCATTACCTTTTTGGTAAATTACTATTATTACCACTCAAACTTTGAAAATCTTTTCAAAACTACTTTATTTCTTAAAAATTCCTTCAAAATTGAATTTTTCTTCAATTTAGATTTATTTTCCAAAAAAGGATAAAAGAAACTTTGAAAAATGGAAAAAAGAAAAGATCGTTATATCCAAATCCAACCCATGAAATCTAAGCTCAATGGACATGACCCATTCCGAAGCCCAAAAAAAAATAATTTCAACTTAAATTTTATTTTGGACCCAAATTGGGAAAGTGACGTTAGGCTCAAGTTTTAAAAGTCGAAACCCAAACCAAGTTTACTTACGTCCGATATTTGCGACCATTATTTATTTTATTTTGATAAAAGGGGAAGATTGAGATATTCAATTGCATTTTTTTTTTTGAACAATTAGGGCATCTGTGAAATAGTTTCTCCGCATCTTGATATCAATCCTATCAATGAGGTCAAAACATGCAAAGTAAACAGTTTTCTTTTAATTTGATGTTATAGAAGAATTTTTTTATTTAATTTTAATTTTAATTTTCAATTTTCAATACAACATTGATTAACCATCTTTCCTTGTTACCCATCAATAGTAATTATTTTTTATTGGAACATAGAGTGTAAGAAACAAATTTCAAAGGATAAGATTTATTTATATACAAGTATTATATAAATTTTGATTATTTATCTTTTCATTTTCAGTAGTTGAAAGTTATCAAGATTTTTTAGATAAAAAAATAATTATTTTTAATAAATATGATAAAAAGTGAATAAATCATAATTATTAAAAATGAAGAGATAAATGATTAAAATTTTGTGTAATTATAGTATATAAAACTTATATGTAAGTTATCAAGATTTTTTAGATAAAAAAATAATTATTTTTAATAAATATGATAAAAAATGAATAAATCATAATTATTAAAAATGAAGAGATAAATGATTAAAATTTTGTGTAATTATAGTATATAAAACTTATATGTAAGTAAATCCCTACTCAATTACAAAAGTTTAAATTAGTACTTTAAACATATATCCTTAAAATAAAAAGGCAATTTATTACTTTTGTTAATCCTAGTTCTCCCTCTCAAAACTTCAAATAATGTGAAACAGAGGGGTATTTGAATTGTTTCTATGATTTCTTGGAAATGCTCTGTTTGAGTTTGGTTTGCTTTGAATTGCACCAAAAAATGCATTGGGAGAAATAAAGAGTCAAGTGGTGTCATCCCACATCCAAATGGGGCAAAGTTATTGCAGGCTATCCTTGTTGCTTTCTCTTGTGCTTCAACATACAAGAATGTTGCAGAATGCATTGTTTTATTGTCCCCAGAGGTTAGGTATAAATTCTGTTGTACATTTCAAGTGATGATATGTGGTAATTATACAATTCTTGTAGCTAATGTTTGTAACATATAAGAGTTGGGTTTTTTTACCTTAAATTCACTCTGAAAAGAATTGAAGATTCAAGAGAACCAGGGTGCTACTTGGAAAGTTCTAGAACCATGTTGAGGGTTCTGGAACCACACGCCAGTTGAAAGTACTTGTGTGGCAACCACTTTATTTGTATGGAGATTTCTTTCTTTTTAGGACTTCAATTTCTAATGGGATTTTGACTTAGTATTCCTAACTAAACTCTATGTACTTGTACTCAATATAAATGTGTTATTAGCAACTCTAGGGGTGTGTGGAACCACCAAGATGTGGCTTAAACCCATCCTCTGCTAGGGTGATGAGAGAGAGAATACCGCCATTTTTAGTTTAGGGATGACTAGATTCCTTTATGCAATTAAACTGTTTAAAAAGCTTTTTAGTCATAAGTGTTTAATGAGAGTTTCTTAGTTGTTATGAAGAGCTTTTAAGTGCAAGAGAGAAAAATTCGTAGATTTCATTATTGTAATTTTTTCTTAATAATGAATTTTTCTCTTTTTCTCTACGAATTTTCCCTCAAATTAATTAGAAAGGTTTTTCATGTTAAATTTGGGGCTCTTCTCCTTATTATTTTGGTACTCAAAAGGAGCTCTCCCAAGATGACTTTCTTGGTAAGGAGTTCATGAACTTGTGTGATTGGATATTGGATAGTGGTGCATCCAATCATGTTAGTAGTTGCAAATATAAATTTAAGCACATATATCCTTCAAATTCCACAACATGCTAAATTCAGGATTGTAAATTCAGTTCAATTCAAGGCACAAGCTTAGTTTCTCTTGCACTTAATCTTACTATTGATAATGTCCTCTACATATTTGAATTTACTTGCAATCTCATTTCTATTAGCTAGATAACTAAAAATTTAACCTACGATGTGATATTCTTACCAACATTTTATATCTTATAGGACCTCACAATGAGGAAGCTAGTTGCGATGGGTGAAATGCATACTGGCCATTATCATTTCAAGCCCTTGAAAAGTAGTTTCTATTTCGAATGTGAACACCCCACCTTTTACGGAGCTTTGGCACCAAAGATTGGGACATCCCTTGTTTGATAGACTCTCTTTGTTATATAAAAGGTTTCATTTGATTTTAAGACTTTTCTTGAAAATTGAGATTCTCGTCATTGAGCAAAATATACTATGATTACACTTTTTGTAGCAATAAAAGAGTTGAATTGCCTTTCCTTTTAATTCATTGTAATATTTAGGGCAAATATCAAACCTTGTCTCATTCTAGAGGTCATTTTCTTACTATTGTTGATAATTTCACCCATGCCACATGGGTATATCTTATGAAATTTAAATATGAAGTGTACTATTATTTAGTCCTATATGTTTATCAAAATGGTGAAAATGTAATTTAGATTGTAGATTAAGCAAATAAGGTCTAAAAATGGACAATAATCTCTTTCTAAGCCCATGTAAAAATTTTCTCATGATCAAGGCATAGTGCATCAAACTACCTATGCTTACACACCACAACAAAATGAAGTAGAGGAATGAAACATAGACAACTCTTGGATGTGCCACAACCCGTGCATTTGCAAGCCATTCTACCTATCTCCTTTTGGGGAGAATGCATACTCACATGTTAACTAAGAGAATCATGTTGGAAAAATAACAAAGAAACATGTGAGTTAAATTCAAGGAAGACTAATTCACCTATTATCTATTAGTTTTAGGTTGAATGTAAATTTTGTGCTGAAACTCACATATTTACTTTTCACACCTCTTATTGTTTATTTTTTCTTGATCAATATCTTCAGCAGTTGGTAGCATCTAATAGACTTGGATAAAAAATGTAAGCAACTTTCAACACAATGAGCAAGAACATCGTTTTGTCCTTCTAGCAAGTATAATTTAAACCCTCAAAATAGTCCAATTTGACAACATCATGATTCATCATTTTGTAAGTAGTTGAAGTTCTAGACTCAATTGGGGACATCCACCTCAAAATTGTAGAACTTTGAGGGGATAAGAAACCAAAATCTGTGGCTCTAAAGTAGGTATTTACATTGTCTTTAAGATGAATTTTGCTCTCACTAAACTAGAGTTTATTGTAGGATTAATGACAAAAACAACTCCAAGATCACACAAAGCCACCTGAAACCTTTAGCCAACAAATTTTGAAGATTTCTTCTCAAAACTCCTTTATGAAATTGTGAATTTGACTATGAAAGGAATACATGATATGAGACTGAAAGTAGAAGATTATCTTCTACGATTAAGGAGATATGTTTGTATAGAGAAGGAAAACCTTTTGTTTAGGACATTTTTGTTTGTTTATAGATAATTAATATAAAATTAATTATTTTGTATTTATCTTCTAAACCGCACTCTTCCATCAATTGCTTTTCCTTGTCTATTCCTTATTCCTTCCTTATATATAAATATATGTTATTATTACATTCTATATAATTGATTATTAGTAGCTTTGTGCTAGTAGGGTTCCAAGCATGTCCTCTAGCAGCCCTACACCAACTACCCATGCATCAACCATATTAGTAACCACCTACCAAGAATTTTGTAAACCAAAACCAACTCCAAAGTGAAACAAAATAGATCCAAAGCATCACAGCTTCCTTGAGTTCCACACCAAGTTGCACTGAGCCATAGCCTCAAACAAAAGTTCAACCAACCAAATGACTCAAACTCTAGGGAGGCAATCCAAACTAATGAAGCTATTATCTATTGATACCAACAACTCTAACATTGTTAATCTTATGGTTTAGAAAGCCATGAACCTTGAACTACAAGACTGTTTTTAAGAATGAAACTCCAATACAAAGAGAGGAACCTTAACTAGGGATAAATGGCAACATGAGAGAGATATAGATGGAATGAATTTTATTTTAATTAT